CGTCTCTTCTTTCCTTTCTCCTCGTATCCTCTCTACCATGCATTCCCTCTTCTTACGGCACAACCCGGACACTCGTACCTACCATGGTTCCAACACCATGCTTCATATCCCCATTGTTCTCATTGCTATTGTTCTTTTCGCCATTGTACTACGTGGTCACAACACCACGTGACTCCTTTGTCCCCATTCGCTATTGTTCTCTGATTAGTCAGCGACCGTGTACTTTAGTATATAAGGACAGGTCTTGCACTGGGCACCCCAGTTTGACCTCTTGTACCAATCAAGCGTTCTCACTCCCTAGACCCCTAGCGACCTCGAACCCCCAGACCCCCAGTGAACCAGTGTGCTAAGCTTGTCATCAGTCTGCGTCCTCATTGTGCATAACCTGCACACGACCCCTTGAGTGCTGACACGCTTCGCTGTAACAGCGGTGGCTGCAGACAAGCTTCTTGATGGCGTCGAAATCATCCTGGTGTGCAGGTTGCCAATCTGGCCAACTCTTCTCCGCATCTTTAGATGTGAGAGGTGTGAGCACGACAGAATGAGAAGCAAGATCGGGCAGAAAACTGGCGACATATCGTACAAGACCAAGGAAAGCGCGGACGGCTGTTGCGGAGCGTGGTGTGGGCCAGTTGAGGATATTGTCGATCTTCTGCTTGTCAGGTTCGACACCGCAAGCCGAGATGTGGTGACCGAGGAAGTTGACCTCAAGAAGGAATAGCTGGGTCTTCTTGTCCGAGCAGTAGAGATGCGCGTCGCGAAGTGCCTGTAAGACACGCTGTACGTTATGGCGGTGCTCTTCGAGAGTCTGGGACCAAATGATAATATCGTCAATGTAAACGTGGCAGACAGTCCCGATGAGGTGTCGCAAGGCCTTGTTCATTCAGCATTGATGTGTCGACGGGGCGTTGCGACAACCCTGCGGCATTACCGTCCATTCGAAGAGGCCAAAGGGGGTTGTGACGGCGGTATACTTTACGTCGTCTGGGTGAACGCGGGCCTGAAAGAATGAGTTCGTCATGTCCAGTTTTCCCCAGATTTTGCCCTTGGCGCAATCTGCGAGAATATCTGAAACACGAGGGAGCGGGTGCATGTCGGCAACGGTGTTCGAGTTGAGGGCTTGATAGTCATTAACCCATCGGGGTTTCGCTGTGGGGTCAGACTTCGGGATGAGGAATGCTGGGGAGGCGTACGGAGAGTCCGACTCTCGGAGCTGTCCTGCAGCGATGTGTTCATCCAGGAGCGACTTCCATACTTCGCGGTATTTCTTAGGACAATCGTATTGGCGTCGCGCAATGACTAAGTTGGTGTCCTTCAGGATAAAGCGGTGGTGGACGTCGGAAGGGAGCTGATCGATGTGGGGGATGTCGGAAGGGAACCGGTCGGAGAAGGTGGTCTTCATGGCGGTATTTTCACGGTCTAGGGTCTCGAGGAGAGCGAGGCGTTCAACGTGTGTGCGGACAGCGGAGATAGTGAGGGAGGTGGCGTCGGGAACAGTGGTGTCGGCAGCCAGTCGCTGGGGGGCTGTGTGTGTCAAAAGGTCGCAGAGGACGTCGCGCTGCACGTTCTGCGCATCCAAACATCGTTCACGTGGAGTCCGCTGGGGCGGAGTAGGAAGGGGAGGGGGAGAGAGGAGGTCGCGACCAGTGGATCTGTTGAGGAGCGTGTGTGCGGCGTGATCTTCAACGATGCTGTTTGATTCGAGCCAGGTCTTGCCTAATATTACAGGGGCACACAGATTATCGACAACGATAGCGCGACACACGCGAGACGACCATGAAAAATCCAGTAAAAGAACTCTCAACTTCACCCATTCCTCACTCCTCATGCCTTCCGAAACCTTTCCCCATGCGTCTCCCAGCCTATGTGCAGTGGGGAGCCGCCGTAGCGGCACTCCCATGGATACAGCGATGTCGCGCCTAACCAACACTGGACCAGCACCGCCATCAATGAGCATGTCAAAAACGGGGGCATCGGGATCGGGCACAAGGCGCGCACGAAGAAAGGTTTGTGGGGCAAAAAGAGGGGGCACGCACGATTCGTCAGAGTCAGAACCAGTGCCGAGGATGCCTGTGGTGTGTGCCAAGGGAGAGGATCCTACAGCGGCAATGGCGGCAATGGTGGTAGGTTCGACTTCTGGAGACTCCTCGTTCACGCTGGCGATGATGCGCTTCGGGCGAACATTTTCCTTGGACGCTTGGCTTTGGGTGGTGAGGTGCGGGTACTTGGTGGTGAGGGGAATGTACGTGGCACCGTCCGGGGCACCGTTGGGGCAGTTCCCGGACATGTGAGTGGAGCTGACGACGTTGAGACGTCGGCATTTGAAACATCCCTTGTTAGACGTCAAGATTTGTCGCTCCACTGCAGTGAGCTGAGGGAGCGAAGCCTTGGTCGAGGAGCCAGAGGTGACAGGAGGATTGCCACGGTGGCCGCCCGGAGCTGGGTTGGCCGCAAGGATCTGCATGATGACGTCGACTTGACGTCGGCGTTGGTCATCGGCACGAGCACACGCCGATTTCCATCGGACATATTGGTCGAGCGGAATCGCTTGGATGTCGTCCGACTGGATGAGCGGGCGGAGGCTGTCGCAGACGCGAGTCTTGATGATGAGTCGCAGTCCCTCGGTTGAGAAGCGAGACGAGGAAGCGCGTAACTGGGTGTTGAGGACCTCGAGTCCCAAGACAAAATCCAGGAAAGTCTGGTTCTCACGCTGTCTGGCATTCATGATCTGAGTCTTGATGTCGACGTCCCAGTTCATGGGGAGGTGATTCGCGCGTAGCTCAGCGAGGAATTCGTCGAAATCCATGCCATCGAAGCGGCAGCTGTCGGTGCGGTACCAGTCGCGGATAATGTCGTGGGAGATATACATGCAGGCCTTGAATACCTTGTCCTCTTCGGTGATGTTGCGGTCGCGGAAGAATTGGAGGCATCCGTGTTCCCAGGCGTTGATGACGGAGGGTGTGATGTTGCCATTACCGATTCCAGGTGCCGATTTCGGGATCATCACGACCGGAGCGTCGCCAGGAGGCATGTTGCGCGGGGTGAGATGGATATATGCAGGTGGGGAGCTGGGGGAGGACGGGGAAG